GCGCAGGATCATCTGCATAAATCGAGCCCCACAATTGAGTGGGCAGATCGATTGGTGAAACGTGGCGATCGCAACGTTGTAACGATTGCACCTTCGAATTGTGGTGGATGTTCCACAACCTAGATGCCTGCGACATGCCCAAAAAATAGATGTGTCGTCCAAACACACCTACGACAGTCGTGTGTATGAAGAATGAATGAGAATTAATGAACTATGGAAGAGTTGGGTACAAGTACTAACCTTAATTGGGTTGTACCCCTTATGGGCTACCCCACTACAGCCTACATAATGTAAGCTATATATAAGTTTCACACACCCCCAAAGGCAAAGTGGGGGAGAACAAGTGGTCACAAGACCAGTCAAGAAAAACAAAGCAAGCTCAGGGTGGATCACGAAGTCACCACACAGTCTGAGCACAAGCAAAGGGCCACAAGGCCAGTTCACATGAAGAGTTATATAAAAGAGAACAAACAATACAGTGATCATACCCTAGCAAGTGCAAGCATGTAGGTATATGTATAGATTAGAGTACAAGCAAAGTCAAGCAGTAAGCAAGTGAGGCAAAGTAGGCACAAGGCCTAACACAGTAGAGAAGCGCTGATGATCACCAGGCGGAAGTGCCTTGGTGAATATATCAGCAGTATTGGCCCTAGTGGCCACGTACGCAAGACGAAGCTGGCCACGCTGCTGCAACTCTTGAGCAAGGAAGTATCGCAGAGCGATGTGCTTCATTCTGTGCTCCAGTCTGTGCTCCTAACACAAGGCAATCATGGCCTTGTTGTCTACGTACAGAATTGGAGGCAAACGAGGCTGCTCTCCCAAGTCAGTCAGCAGGTAGGTGAGCCAGCGTAGCTCCTGTGCAGCCATGGCCCTGGCGTAGATCTCAGCCTCACAACTGGAGCTGAGAATCGAAGACGAGCGAGTAGACCGCCAGGAAACAGAGCCGGAACCAAGGCTGAAGGTGTAACCCTGTGACGACCACTGCGTAGCTGAGTCGTCAACCCAAGAAGCGTCTGCGTGACCAGTGAGGACAAGTGGACCCCGTCCTCCAAGCACGAGCCCCATGCCCGACGTACTGCACAAGTAACGCAGTACCCTCTTCGTAGCATCCCAGTGCACCTTTCGGTGCCTACCGGGAGCCACGTAGCGAGCCAGAAGGCTGAGAGGGTACGCGAGGTCAGGTCGTGTGCACGTCATCAGGTACATGAGGCAACCCACAAGCTCTGGGTACGGACCAATCGGCTCTACGGTCTCGTCCGAAGGTGGAGCTGAGAGCGAGTGGTCGGTAGAGAGAGGAGTGGGCTGTGGCGAGGAGAACTGGAAGCCGAAGCGCTGAAGGACCTGGTGCACCATGTGTGACTGAGTCAGTGTGATGGTGCGCCGTGCTCTGTCCCGGGTGATCTGCAAGCCAAGATAGCTGCGCAGTTCACCCATGTCAGTGCAGATGTGTCGCTTCTGCAGCCCCAACATCACAAGGGTCAGTGCCTCGGTGTCAGCAGTGGCAAAGACGAGGTCGTCGACGTACACGAGGACGTAGAACGGTGACAGCGAGGTGTCGGTACGTAGAAACATCGACGGGTCAGCACTAGAAGGAGCAAACCCAAGAGCCGCAAGTGTAGTCCTCAGAGTGCCGTGCCACTCGCGAGGCGCCTGGCGGAGACCGTAGACTGGCCGCTGGAGGCTCCACTGGGTACCTGCAGGAAACGACTCAGTGAAGCCAGGTGGGCGGCGCAGCAAGATCTCCTCGTGCAGGCTGCCTTGCAAGAAAACTGTACTGAAGTCCAGAGAATGCAACTCGTTGTCACGCTGAGCAGCGACGTGCAACAACACCCTAAGAGTAGTCATCTTCAGGATGGGGGAGAAGGTATGGAAGTTGTCAACCCCCTGTCGCTGACCAAAGCCTCGAGCAACGTAACGCGCCTTGAAGGCAGGCGGAGAACCCGGCGGCCGCTTCACCCTGAAAATCCACATGCCATCGACTATGTTTGCCCCAGGTAGGGGAACCTCGTCGACGTAGGTGCCTGTGGACTTCCAGGATGCCATCTCGGCATCCATGGCTGCCTGCCACTGAGAGGAGTAAGGACCCGTAATCGCCTCTGCGTAAGAGCGCGGGGTCGGGATGTCTGGTGCATCCGGGTCTCCCTCAGGGGCAAGCAGCATGGAAGCGAATAGAGGTACAGCAGCTGCAAGACACTCAAAGTCCTCTTGCCTGTCCTCAAGGACGTCCGGGCCAAGAGCACACTCACCCCCGACGGACGGAGGACTGGCAGACGCAGACTCAACAACAAGAGAAGTGGCGTAGTCTAGACGACAAGCAGCAGCAAAGTCAGCTAGCTCAGCAACGAGGGCAGACGCAGCAGCAGACCCAAAGGAAGGGTTAGTGACAGCAGTGGCGAGGAGACGAGGGACAGTGGGACTGGTAGCACGAGCGCGGTCAGACGCAGGGTCAGGGACCGCATGAAGAGAGGACTCAGGAGGAGCAGGCAGAGGAACACGCAGTGGAACAGAGGAAGGACAAAGTGCCATAGCGTGCGTGCCGGGGACAGGAGGAGGACGCGAACGAGGAACGCTACGAGCAGTGCGAACAGGCGAGACAGGGCGAGACGCAGGCTCACGACGCTCTGTAAGAGCGCCGGACTGCTCAGTGTAAGGAGAAGGAGAAGGCAGTGGGGAGGACTGCTCAGTGTAACGGCTGCAGCGACTGGTTAGGCGGTGGACACAGGAGGGGAGGAGTAAGGCTGGTAGAAGACGGGACACCAAGAACCTGCTAAAGCAGGGGAACAAAGTACGGTCGCGGCCGCACAGTGCCTCCAGGGTCAACAGCTCCAGCTCCTCCAGCTCCAGCGCCTCCCGCTCCAGTGCCTCCAAATCCAGCGCTTTAAGCGGCATTGCCACCAGCTCTAGCGCCTCCCGCGCAAGTGTCTCCAACTCCACCTCCTCCAGCTCCAGCGCCACCTGCGCTAGAGCCTCCAGCTCCAGTAGCTCCAGGCTCCGTAGGGTCTCCGGCTCCAGCCCCACCAACACTACCAGTCCCGTCATCTCCAGTACCCCTGGTACGAGCACCTCCAGGACCAGTAGCCGCAGTACCTCCAGTACCACCAGCTCCAGTAGTAACGCCAGTACCACCAGCTCGAGCGGCTCCAGCTCCGGGAGCTCCACTCCGAAGGCGTGCGCACCGAAAAAGCCACTCACGCAGCTGCTGCGGAGACAGTCCCGGCGAAGCACCAGCAGGACCTCCAGACGAAGCAGCACCCTGAGGCTCAGCACCCCCAGACTCCGCACCCTCCGACTCAGCACCCCCAGTCTCAACACAATCAGGCTCAGCACCCCCAGGCTCCACACCCGCAGGCTCAGCACCCCCACGCTCCTCAACCCCCGGCTCTGCACCCCCAGACGCAGCACCTCCAGATGCAGCACCTCGAGCAGAACCTGAGCCGACAGCTACCTCAACATGCGCTGTACCAGGGAGAGGGTCTACCTAAGACACACCTGAGGGAGCAGGACCCTGGGGGGGGAGGGGGTCTACCGGAGGGGGACCTGGAGCAAGGAAGAGCGGCGGGGGCGGGGCAGGGGCAGAGCGGAAGGGGAAGAGACGGTAAAAGGGAATCGACTCGTCAAACGTGACGTCCTGAGAGGGGAAGACACGGCGCGAGGTGGGGTGGTAAAACTGCCAGCCAGGCGCGTCAGGGGGAAAGCCAAGGAAGACGCAGGGAATAGCGCGGGCGGAGAGCTTGTCCGCGGAAGTATCGCGAACAAAGGCACGAGAGCCCCAGCCCGGAACACCGACGCATCGCCAACCTTCCCCGTCCAACGGAGTGTCGGCGAGGTCTCCGGCAAAGAGACATGAGGCTAGAGGTTGAGCTGATGCGCAGCGTACCGAACCGCAAACGGCCACAGAAAATGGGGAGCAGCCGCATGGATCATGGAGGTACGAGCGACCTCCATGACTAAGCCAATGCGGCGCCCAGCAATCCCATTTTGCTGAGGAGAGGCCGGAAGCGTTAACCAATGGAGGATGCCCTCCCCACGACAAAAGTCCCGCAAGAGGTCGGAGGAGAACTCACCACCTCTGTCAGAGTGCAGACGCAGGACAGGAAGGTCCGCACGGAACCGCTCGCGGAGCTGGAGACGGACTGCGCGGATCCAAGGGATCAAGACATCAACGACCTGACCCTTGCTGCGCAAGGGAAAGACGGTGGTGTACCGCGTGTAATGGTCAACAACAAGCAGAGAGTAGCGCTCGCGGCCCTGTCCACTGACGCGGGCTGGGCCCCACACGTCCATGTGGAGAGTCTGCAGGGGAGCAGTCATCGGGGGAAACTAGGAGGAGTGAGGTGCGGCGCGCTGCCGCCCCTCGACGCAAGGAAGGCAGGGCGGGGCTGGCGAGGGAGGGAGGGGAGGCAGAGACCTGGGAAGACCAGAGACAAGGAGACGGGAGTGCATGCCACGAAGGCGTGGCAGGGAGGGGTGACCCAGGCGGTGGTGCCACAGAAGAGTCTGGTGCGACAGGAGGCGACACGAGCAAGGGGGTGCTACCTGACCTGACGCGGACACCTGAGCAGGCGCAGCTACCTGAGGAGGCTCGGTAGCCAGTGTGTACAGACTCGACCCTGGCCGACGAGTGAACGTGGCCAGGTGACGACCCGTCCGTGTACACGTGCAGATCGACACACGCTGACCCCCAGGAGTGGTGGTAGTGACCATCGCATCCTAGAGGGCAGCGGTGCTCACCAAGTTTGTAGAGAACAAGGGGAGGTGAAGACTTGACAGTGAGCTGGATGGAACCGCCGGACACAGGAGGACAGTGGAGGAACGGGCAACGACAGGGCCCCTGAAGGGGTCAGCCAGTCGGACCGGGACAGGTGCAGGGAGAGGAGTGAGAGTTGTGCTGTCACGAAAGAAACAGCGTGAGGCACCTGAGTCCAGCGTGAAGGTGTGCAAGGCCTCAGCAGGCGCAGTACCAGGGAGAACAGTCTCACTAGCACCTAGAGCAGTAGCGTCTATACCTGGGTCAGGCGGCACACACTGGTAACAGTCACCCCCAGCACTAACAGACAAAGCATACTTAGCAGAAAGAATAGCATCATAGTCTAGGTCAAAGATCGCAACACCAGACCTAAGCAGCTCTACCGAGTGGGGGCGCTCGACCTCGTCACCAAACTCAGCGCGCCAAGCGTCGTCGAGACGGGAGAAGCAGCGGTGCTGCGTGTGCGCCTTCCTGCATGTCTGACCAGCACGGTCACCCGTGCGAATGACATACGGGCAGCTCACACTACCCCCAGACGCCCCACGCTGAAACAACCACTCACGAAGCTGCTGGGGCGAAGGGGTCTCGCTCCGACGCTGCTGCCGCTGCCGCTGGCCTCCTCCAGAACCTCCACGCTGAGCTTCAGTCCTACCGCCACCACAGCCACCGCTGCCACTACCGCCACTCCCACCGCTGCCTCCACTGCCGCCACCAACGCCCCCACTCCCTCCACCACTCCCACCGCTGCCACCACCTCCACTGCCGCCACTGCCTTCACTGCTGCCCCCACCACCACTCCCGCTGCCCCCTCCACCACCCCGGCCACCCTTGCCTTTGCTGCCGCGGCGCTTTGCACTAGCAGAAGCAGCCCCGACGTCCTCAGGAATAGAGACGTCTGCAGCAGCAGCAGAGGCGTAGGAGGGGGCAAGGGGGGAGGGGGAACACCCCTCAAAGAAGGGTGGGCGCGGAGTGCCACGAGCAGCACCTACAGCAACTGCACTAGTCTCAGCTGCGAGGAGATGCTGCTCGAGGAGGTCAACAGTGAGGGAGGTGGCGTCAAGAGAGAGGAAGTGGTCCCTGACAGAGCGAAGAGAGTCAGGGAGGCGGGTGACTATAAAGTAGTGAGTGATGTACATGGGGGGCGGGTTCCTGTCAAGGAACTCTGCTGGGAGGGCAGCGTGGTAGCGAGCGTCGCTAGCGCGAAGGTGGGAAACCAGGTCCTCGACTGTGGCAAAGGCGGACAGCTCGGGGAACAGGTAGGGCAGGTGGAGGCAGCCTAGAGCAGCAGTGGCAGGCGAGGAGTAGCGAGAGATGACAGCGTCGTACAGTGCCTGTGCTGTCCTGTGCAACACATCCGAAGTGAGCGCATTTGGCTAACGGCAGGTGGTTGCGAGTGGCTAAGCAGGCAGCAGCGTCGCGAGTAAGCCGCTGTGAGCGAGTCGCACTGTCAGTTGTGGCGGGAGGGGCGGGAGCAGTGCAAGACGCGAGGTCAAACAAAGAAACACTGTCCCGAGAGTCGCTCAGTAGGTACAGCTGTAGGTCGTCCAGCCACGTGTCAAACTGGATCGGGCGACCCTCATGATCGAACGCAAGAACTCGAAGCGAAGCCATAGCGGCGCAGCACGTAGAGCGGGGAGCAAAGAGCACAGGGCAGGCAGCAGCCGCAGCAGTAGTAGCAGCAGTAGTAGCAGCAGTAGTAGCAGCAGTAGTAGCAGTAGCAGCAGAAGAGGGGCCGAGGGGCCGAGGAGCCTAGGGGCGACAGGCCGCGGGGCCAGGAATGAAGGGGGGGGGCCAAGGGGCCGGGGGCCTAGGGGCGACGGGCCGCGGGGCCAGGAGCAACGGGCCGAGGGGCTGGGGGGGGCCTAGGGGCGACGGGCTGCGGGGCCAGGAACGAAGGGGGGGGGGGGTGGGGGGGGGGGCGAGGGGCCGGGGGCCTAGGGGCGACGGGCCGCGGGGCCAGGAACGAAGGGGCCAAGGGGCTTGGGGCCTAGGGGCGACGGGCCGCGGGGCCAGGAACAAAGGGGGCCGAGAGGCCGGGGGCCTAGGGGCGACGGGCCGCGGGGCCAGGAACGAAGGGCCACGGGGCCAGAAACGAAGGCCTGAGGCCGCGGGGCGATGGCGCCTAGGGCGACGGGCCGCGGGGCGACGGGGCCTAGGGCGACGGGGGCCGCGGGGCGACGGGGCCTAGGCGACAAAGGGCCGCGGGGCGACGGGGCCTAGGGCAACGGGGGCCGCGGGGCGACGGGGCCTAGGGCGACGGGGGCCGCGTGGCGACGGGGCCTAGGGCGACGGGGCCTAGGGCGTAGGGCCGAGGGGCGACAGGGCCGAGGGCGACAGGGCCTAGGGCGACGGGGCCTAGGGCGACGGGCCGTGGGCGACGGGGGCCGTGGGGCGACGGGCCGTGGGCGACGGGGGCCGCGGGGCGACGGGGCCTAGGGCGTAGGGCAGAGGGGCGACGGGGCCAAGGGCGACGGGGCCTAGGGGCGACGGGGCCCAAGGCGACGGGCCGCGGAGCGACGGGTCTAGGGCGACGGGCCTAGGGGCCTAACTGTCGCGTTAGGCAGTAGGGGCAGCGCGAGGGCTGCAGAGGGCGGCTAGCGGGGTAGCGCTATGGTGGGCCCAAGGAAAAAAAAAAAAAAAACGGTCCTAGCGGAGGACCTGCATTGAAACCATGTCAGAAGAATGAACGAGAATGAATGAACTAGCAAACAGTTGGGTACAAGTACTAACCCTAATTGGGTTGTACCCCTTATGGGCTACCCCACTCCAGCCTACACAATGTAAGCTATATATAAATTTGACATCGTGTTGGGCTGAAAAAGTCCTTAGGATAATTTCAAGACTAAACTCTCAGAGTAGTGATGTACTTAGCGGAAGCATAATAGTGGATTTATTGAACCACCTTGCACTAGTATGTGAGAACAAGATGCGTTGATCATAGCAAAGAGATACAAGGTTTTATATGATTACAAGGAATATGAAAGGTTAACTGTAACTGCTGTTGCGGTTCGATACAGCGACGACTCGGGTAACTGCTCAATAGCGAGTCAGTTATTTGTCCTTGCTGTCGCGCTGCCTTTGTCAAGTCAAAGGTTGCTGACCTTTGACCTTCGATTCAACCTCCTGCTGTTGTCGCCTTGTCAACTGCTTTGGTTGACTCGCCGTTACTTTGTTGTAGTTCGCTTCGCTTTACGTTGTAGTGTTCGACACTTCAGAAGCGTAAATTAGATGTTTTCAACACCCCCCTTCACTTCTGGAGTGTCATCGCCTTTGTTGCTGGTGACATGGCCCTGTCCAGTCAACAGCATGCAGTACTCGAACTTCTGATTTCCGAGTCAGGTAATCTGCTGACATCTCGGACGTGGGGCAGTAGGATAGCTCGAGTCTCCCTTTCTCGATCTCTTCCTTCACGAAGAAGTAGCGCAGGGCAATGTGCTTCGTTCGGTTCGCGAACCTGCTCTTGTTCGCTATGCGAATTGCAGATTGGTTGTCGCAGAAGAGGGAGAAGCTGGGTAATTGGGCCAGCTTTGTGAAAGTTTAAAAAGAAAGAAGGAGGGTTGCACTAGCAAGAATGAGGATACAAATAGCAAACCCTAGAAGGGTTGTACTCGCTATAGAGCACCCCACTACAGGCTAGAGCATAATATTCTGACACACCCCCATAGCCAAAGTGGGGTGTAATCAGCAGAGCAAGCACAGCAGTACAAGCTCAGGGTGGATCACAATGTCACCACACATTCTGAGCACAAGTTCAAGAAGCAATAGTTTAAAGTTCACAATTATGAGCAAAGCTAGAGGCTATCGCAGAGGGCAAGTGAGGAGGAGGAGAGACTGTGGGGGAGAGAAGATGGGAGGCGACTGCTGACGCTGCAGACACACAGACGAGCTGCTGGCTCAGTGGCTACCGGAACAACGCTCCGGACTACTGGGGTAACTGGCCCCGCGGCTAAAAGTAGCGGCAGACGAGCAACGGACCCACGGGCGACTGGCGACTACCGGAGATTGTAGCCTCCGGACTGCTGCTACTGCTGACGACAAGACTGCTGCCTCCACTCGACCTCCCCCAAACAGTACCACCCCTCCTGACACACACCCGCTGCTACACCGCTAGCTCCACTCCCCCTTCACCCCCCCTTAGCACCACTCCAACGGCTCCAACAAGTCCACCCCCCCTCAGCGGCAGCTGCAGCACAGGGAGACGGAGGAGGAGGAGGAGCAGGGAACGGCACACAGTAGTTTCACCCCCATACCCCTCACCCCCAAACCCTAATTCAGGAGAACGGGCTGTAGGAGGGGTGGGGCGCCAGCAGAAGCACGGGGGACAGCGGGGAGGGCAGGGGCAGCGAGGAAAGGGCCGCCCACGGGCCTGGCACAGCCTCCCGAACCGCGCGCAGGCGGCCCGAGCCGCGCGCGGGCCTGGCGCAGCCCGTACGGGCCGCGCGCGGGCCTGGCGCAGCCCGTACGGGCCGCGCGTGGGTCTGGCGCAGCCCGTACGGGCCGCGCGCGGGTCTGGCGCAGCCCGTACGGGCCACGCGCAGGCCTGGCGCAGCCCGTACGGGCCGCGCGCCGGCTGTACGGGCCGCGCGCAGGCCACGACGGGCGACGGGGGGCGACGCGCGGGTCCCCGTCGCCCGTCGCAGCGCCTCCCGAGGGCGACGCGGCGAGTGACGGGGTAGAAGCCCGCCGCGCGCCTCGGGGCGCACAGCGGGCAGAGAACCGCCGCGCGCCACGGGGCGCACGGCGGGCAGAAAACCGCCGCGCGCCTCGGGGCGCACGGCGGGAAGAAAAACTGCCGCACGCCACGGGGCGTGCGGCACAGAAGGTAGTAGTGGAAGTTGCAGCGGAAGCAACGAGGTGGTGAGCCCACCCACAGGATCGATCCAAGGGGATCGACCTGCTCTGATAGCATGTGAAAGTTTAAAAAGAAAGAAGGAGGGTTGCACTAGCAAGAATGAGGATACAAATAGCAAACCCTAGAAGGGTTGTACTCGCTATAGAGCACCCCACTACAGGCTAGAGCATAATATTCTGACAAGCTTTGCTTCTTCCAGTAGTTCGCGAAGGTACAGTCCTTCCTTGGTGGCTGAACAGAGTGCTATTTATTCGGCTTCAGCAAAGAAGAGCAATAAGTTCTTGCTTGCTCGACTGCCATGAGATAGGACCGACGGGCTCAAGTCGATAGATGTAGCCGGTGCGCGATTTCCTGTTGTCAGAGTCGCCTGCGTGGTCAGCGTCCACGTAGCCGATTAGCTTTGAAGTAGTGGTTCCGGTCTTGTGGTAGGTTAGGCCGATCGTAGGTGTGCTGACGAGGTAGTGTAACGCGCGGTCGAGTTCCGCCATGTGCTATGCTTTGGGCCGTTTGAGATAGGTAGCAAGCTGGCTCGCTGAGTACGACAAGCCCGGTCGGCAGGTAACGGCTGCGAAGAGTAAGCATCCAAGTTTCCGCTGGTAGTCGCGTAGTCCGGTAGGTCCGAGCGGATTAGACTTTTCCTGGTGATTTCCGGCGGTGTAGCGATAGGGCGTGGATATGGCGGCTGGCGATAATCCAAAGCGTTTGGCGATTGTGTCGGCGTATTTTGTGGCGCTGAGGTAGATCGCGTTCTCTCCGTCGAGTATGTTGAGTCCCAGGTATTGGGTTACGATGGAAGAGACCGTGAGCGAGAGATCCCGTTGTAGGTCCCCTTCAAACCAGGTGGTGATGTCGTCGGTAGAGCCTATGTAGAGCAGGTTGTCTACATACACGATCAGCAGGATGTATTCGGCTTCCTTTGTGAGTCGTCTGTACATGCCCTGGTCGTGTGGTAGTTGCTAAAAGCCGATGCGGATTAATCGGGCGTGTCGGTACTGCTGCCACAGCCGCGGAGCTTGCTTGATGCCGTACAGGGACTTCAGCAACTGACAGGCTTGATTAGGGTCTGTGTTGGATCCGTGTGGTTGCTCGACGAAGATTTCGGCGTCGACGGGAGTGTAGAGGAACGCGTTAGCTACGTCGATTTGGCGGAGCTTCTTCTGCTTCATGGCGGCTATCGCAAGGAGGATTCGCAAAGAGGTACGTCGACTGACTGGCGCGAAGGTCTCGGTGAAGTCTCGTCCGTGCTCTTGGTCGAAGCCACGCACGACCCATCGTGCTTTGAATTTGTCAATTGTCCCGTCAGCTTTCGTTTTCATGCGGAAGACCCATTTTCCCGTGAGAATGGTTTTGTTTCGTGCCACTCCGATGGGTACTATCTTCTAGGTGTTTCTGTCTTCCAGCGCATTTAACTCCCTGTCCATGGCTTCGTGCCATTTTTCCCTGTGCCCCCCCCCCATAGCCTGCTGAACCGTAGCAGGCTCTCGCGGCATTGGTGCGCCATGGACTGCGGTGACGAGCCCAAGAATCTGCAGCCCACTCTGTGTGTAGCGAGGGAGATTTGGTTCCTCGGGATAAACTGCTTCGTCTCCCGCTTGTGGATCAAGTAAGAAGTTGGGGCCTATGCATTCTGAAACTTTCGTGTTGACCGGCTGGGGTGTAACGTAACCATTGTCGGCGAACTCATAGTAGACATCGGCATTGATGCTTTCGCAAGGGTTTTCGTCGTCCATCGGAACGGGTACCGAATAGTAGGGAAGAG